ACAACAACAATTTTCCAGATAAATCTTTTCTCCTTGCACAGAGTCATTTGATCTACTGTAAGTAATAAAATATTGATTAGTGCAGTATTATTGTCTCATTTTGCATGCTTTTTTAAAATTCTCACAATAAGATGTGACTCAAAAAATTAAAGTTTTACAGCTACACATATTGCGAGATTGTAGTTTACACAACACAATTACTTAAAATAAAGGTCTGTCACTTAGGAAGTGTGTTGATGTCTGTTATTTTAGTGAACAAAGCAAATTATAAATCATTGCCAAAATATTTCATTTGCGATCCATCCAGTAGATGTGGTTTTGCACGATTTAGGCGTGGGCAGTTTTGTATGTAAACCACATGAAAATCTGCACCTTTTTATAGACCACAGAGGACTCGGATGAAAACAACAGTTGCCTGAGAAGCAAACAACTGGCTCATCTAAATGGAAAACAACTAGCTGAAGAAGAACATTGGCAGCGACCTCAACCCAAATGGTTAAAACTGTCCTGTCCTGTAGTCTGTGTCCATCCCGCTTTTCATTGCCTTCTATTTTGGGTAATTTATACTGGAGACACGAAGGTTCTTTGTTAATGTATTCTAAGTAAATTAGTGACAAAAAGACTCTTATTATGGACTTGTAGACAGGCGAAAGCACTTTGTTTAACAGACACCAGACAATTCAGTTTTCTCTGGCTGCAACAACAAAATAATAAACTGCAGAAATACACAAATTTTCCAAATTAGCACGAGCGATTCTGATGAGACTTGGCCTAGATATGTTCAAAAAAAAAAAGACCAAAAGTGCATCTGAAGTAACTGTTGATGCACTATCCATCCGCTATATGTCTGCATTATTGCTGAGTCAGGAACCATCCATCCAGTCTGGGGGACTCACAAGGGTGCTAGACACTTTCCTAGCTGTCATGGGGTGAGAAGCATGGTACACTACAGACTATGACAGGTTACCAATGTGTTGAGGGCTAACAGAGAGACAGACAACAATTCACACTCGTATTCACATCTATTGCCAAATTAGAAGCACCAATTAATCTAACGCATGCCTGTCCTTGGACTGTAAAAGGAAGGTGGGGTACCTGGAGAAAACCCAGCTCTGGCACAGGTAGAAGAGCACCACAGTGAGGCCCCCGCCATCCCGTGGATATGAACCCAGAGCCTTCTTGCTGTGAGGCAAAAGTGGCAACCTTAATTTTCGGACACCCCTTTAGCTTCTTAGCTTTTCAACGTGAGGAACAACAGCATTTACAAATGTCTGCGTTAGAAGGTGGGTGTGGTGGCAGATAGCACAGTCACATGATCTTACATTGGTCTTTGCCTTTTCTGGTGCTGTTTTGTTTTCATTCATTAACACCACTTGGTCTGGTTTACGGTCTGTTAGCATGAAAAATCTTCCAACAGAAAAACTTTAATGTCAAAATGAATGAATGAGACTTGATTTGAAGCCCCCAAATATAAACAAAACCCCATACTAGCACGCTTTTACCCCTACACAAGTTATCAGGGGTCCCTGAGGATGCTGAAAGGTTAAAATAAGTTCTTTCAAACGAGTAACTGTTCACATGACAGAGCAGGCTGTCCTGATTCCAGGCATGGAAGAGAAGACTTTGATAAAGATCAAATCTGGAAGGGTACACATTAAATCGCATGGCTGTGGAATAGGTTCATGAATTCATATGGATCCAATTTTAACATTACACTCATAGTTACTTGAATACTAAGAAAACTGTAGTATTCAAGCCAATTCTGGCTATAGGATCGACTACTCACTCTGAACTCTTTAGAAATGTTAAGTCTTTCATAAAGTTTTGCCGTCTACAGTTTTTAAATAAGAAGCACATACACCTTTACTTATTATACTACTCACTACCAATGTGAATAGCATACAGTTATACTTTCTATACTACTATACTAGAGCTATACTGCTGAGGTGTGAAAACATCTGTGAGTGTACAAACTCAGGCTACATCATCTGAGGCCAGGGTTCTCAGACTGCTGCTTCACATTATAAGGCAAACTTCTTCCATCTGCAAGAAGTTCCTCTGGCATTTCCTCTGTTACCCTCGCAACAGTGATGAAACCAATTGGAGCACACTTTTCTGTGGTCTAATTATGCCTGTTTCAGTCATTGAGAGACCCCTGGAACCACCTTGCATGT